GCTTGGTGCCCTTCCACAGTGGCACAGCTAATGATGAAGTGTGAAGGTGTGACTGTAAACACAGCCTGAAGAGTAGTTTTCTGCATCTGGCATGAGAAGATGATCCAATCCCAAGCCAGGGGGTCTTCCTTTGGCAATCAGAGATGCCCTAAGGTTTAGGATGCTGAGACAGAGGCTGCTCTTGACATCAAAATGACATGAAGAGCAGTTACATGAATAATGGTACAGGCGAGAAGCCAAAGATTGATGCCGCAGGGTGATCGGTAATGAAAAGTCCCCTGACTATCTTAATACAAAATATACAGCTTTAATGAACAGAAGGAAGACTTCACCAGCTTACACCAGAATCCAAACAATCCGTCCAGATGCAGGAGCCAGGCAGGAGCCAGGCAAGAGAGCTAGCAGGTGCGCATTTGCCAGGTTTATAGGTAAACTTTAGCCTAAGGGCGACACGCCCCTCGAACAGGGCTGAACTCCCCTATCAAAAGATCCCTGGCTTTTGAAACAAACTGCTATGGCCTAACTCTGCTGAGAACCTGGGAATGCCCTCCACCTCTTGGGCTCTGCTCTTTAGTTGAAAGCTGTTCTATAAGAAGAGTCTACTCTTCTTATGTATGTAGGTGATTGTGCAAGGAGTGAGCTGGGCAATTAATGAAAATAACCAGTGTGTGTGACTAGTGAATAGAGGTCAGGTGGCAAGGCCATCAGGATTAGGGGTACTGAGAGAACCACCTAGGTTATAATGGGCTACCTTTTGCCAGCTTTCTGTACCACATGGAGCCTCTGAGGTTTAATCCTGTTGATGGGCAAGGTGCCATTGTGGTTATCTGCTAGAGTACAAAGGGAGTGAGATTTGGGACCACTGTGGATATATAGAGGGTGTGTGAGGGGAGGCACAGAGGTAGCAGCCTGCTAGCAAGGTAATATCTGAGAGCAGAGGCCCTGTAGTCAGATGGTCAGGGTTCAGTCCTGCCTTGCTGTTTTCCTTCCTCTGCAGTGTCAGAAATCACATAATGGGATCATGACAACTCACTAAGCTAGTAGGAAAATACTACTCAGATATATTATTTGAAAATTGCATGTGGCATTTTAATAATCCAGATGGGAAGAACTGTGGGAGCCTGAGTGTGCTGGAGACCAAAGACTGAAAAGGAACTGTGATTCAGACAGATTTATTTTTGAGCTGTTAGAAATCTAAGTGATGTCAGATTTCTTCTGCTCTGGGCTCAGAAGGTGTTCAGAACAGGAAGCAGCAGACACATGTATAAGACACCGATAGTGTTTCAGCAAGTACAATCTAAAGACCTGTAAGCTCATATCTAAAGAACATTAAGCTTTTCTTTTTTTCTTTTTGTGAGGGAAAATTACTGAATTATATTAGTTTCCTAGGACAAAGGCCTCAGACTGGGCGTCTTGAACAGTTGTGTTTTTGCAGTTCTAAAATCTGGAACTGTGAGGTTGAGGTATCAAATAGCATTGGCCTAGGTTTCCCCTTAGGCTCCTCTGCTTGCCTTTCTTATGGCAAATCCAAGGTGAAAGAATGTTAAAGTGCTGGTGAGCAGCCAGTGACTGCACATTGTGAGAGCAGCCAGCATTTCCCTCAGGAGAAGCAGAACCTGAGAGAGGCACAGGTAGTGTCCCTGTCGCTTGGCTGCTTATTCTTTTATTTTATTTATTTATTTATTTATTTTTATACTTTTTTTATTTTATTTTTTAATGTTCCTACCAGGAGGTCATGCCTATCCTGTGGGGGTGACCCCATCTCCCCGCTAGCCCCCCAGTTTCTTTTTTTTTTTCTCAAAGTTTATTAAAATACAAAAGTCTCCATTTCCACCCCTCCTCCCAACACCCTCCCACTCCCCCCACTCCCTCCCCTCCTCCCTCTCCATCCCCAATAGCAGTCAGGGTCTCCCACCCTGTGGGTAGTTCAGGCTCTTTCCCCCTCCCTCCAGGTCCAGGAAGGTGAGCATCCAAACAGACTGGATCCCAAAAATCCAGTATATGCAGAGGAAACAAGTCCCAGTGTCATTGTCAATGGCTTTTCAGAAAGACTCCGGGCCAGCCACATTCAGAGAATCTCTGTCCCAGACAACTGGCCTTGGTGAACTCTCATTAGATCAGTCCCCTTGTATCAGTGGGTGATCGCACCCCTCGCGGTCCTGATTTCCTTTTTCATGTTCTTCCTCTTTCTGCTCCTCGTTTGGACCTTTGGGGACTCAGTCCGGTGTTCCAATGTGGCTCTCCGTCTGTACCACCATCCCTCATCGGATGAAGGTTCCCTCTGATCTTGCCTTCCTTGCTCACGTTCTCTTTCCTTCTGCTTCTCGTTTGGACCTAGGGAATTAAGTCCAGTGTTCCAATGTGGTTCTCCGTCTCCATCTCCATCCATCACCAGATGAAGGATCTATGGTGATAAGCAAAATATTCATCAGTATGGTTATGGGCCAAGGCCGGTTCAGGCACCCTCTCCTCTGTCCAGAGAACAATCTGGGGATCTCTCCTTGGACCTGGGATTCCATTTATAATCAAGTCTCTAGTAAACCCTAAACTGACTCCCTTAATTGAGATATATTCTTCCCTGATCCCATATCTATCCTTCCTCACGCCCCCCCCCCCCGGCGCCCGGGCGGGCCCCTGTCCTCCCCCGCGCCCTGCTCTCTAACCCTCTCCCCTTCCAGAAGCCCGCCCCCCCCCCCCAGCCCCCAAGGTTACCTGGAACTCTTGTCTATTTCCAATCTCCAGGAGGAAAACTACCTGAATTTTCTTCAGGTTCACCCTCCTATTCAACTTCTCTAGAATCACGAATAATAGGCTCAAAGACCTTTAATTATGGCTAGAATCCACTTATGAGTGAATACATACCATATTCCTCTTTTTGGGTCTGGCTTACCTGTGACTCAGTAAAGAGTTTTCTTTTCTTTTTTTTTGTTATTTTTTTAAATTTTTTTTTAATTTTTAAATTTTTTTAAAATTTTTTTATTTAAGTTTTACTGGGAACCCCTCCAGAATCAAGTCTCTTGCAAACCCTAAAATGGCTCCCTTAGCTGAGATATAAACCTCCCTGCTCCCACAACCATCCTTCCTCCCCCCGCCCCTCCCATTCCCCCAAGCCATCCCCAATCCTCCCCCTCTCCCCTGCTTATTCTTTTAAATCAGTCGATTTCCAAACATGCTACTCTGACTCTGGCAGGAACTGGAGCACACCAAAGCTAGTCTTGGCTACAAGTGATCATGGTTTCTGATCATGCTTGGTAAAAGTAGAAGAAGGGGAGAGAATGAGTTCAGGCGGGAAAGAATCTGACTTAGTCTAGCAGCTTCTTTGAAATTCTACAAGCAATCAACAGTGGCTGAACCAAGCCCAAAAAGGAAGAAAAGAATTTCCTGGCTGAAGACTTAGGAGTTCCTGAAAGCGGTGCTGCGTATTTAAAATAGACCCAACCAGAAATTTCATGGACTGTCCTGGACTGTATACACATGATTGTGTTTGCCCCCATTGAGAAGGCGCCAAAACTGAGGCTTAGTAGTGGTGCCACTCTGCTACCACCCCCCACCTAGCACAGAAAAGGCAGTTGTGGGACCTGGGCTCATTCTGCTCAGCAGGTAGCAGATGAGGAGGAGTGATAGACAGGGAGATAGGGTTGCTGACAATGAGGAGGCACAGGACTGTTTGCTTGTTTGAAGGTTGGGTCACTGGTTCAGCTTGAGTCTTTGATGGACTTGGTCCTTGTCCCACAGACACTATCTATGATGAAGATGAAGTCCTCTTGGCCTTGGCTGAACAACTGGGAACCTTCACCACTTTGGTGGGAGGACCTGAGTATGTGCACTGCCTGCTGGTGAGTGAAAGCTGGGAGGTCCCCTAATCCTTTTCTCTACCTTGGGGTCAAAACTGTGGTTCTGCCTATGGGGAATGGGGAGCAAGAGAGGGATTAGGAAGGCTGGAGATCATCCTAGAATGGATGGCCTTCGGATGTCACTTATGTCAAGTCATTAGTGACATTTAATCTCCAGTTACCATTCATTGTGTATCCTTACCCACAATAGGACCAGCGGGCAACCCACTTGTAGGGTTGTGGGTTTGGGGTCAGGTAGGTTTCTGCCACATACTGATAGGCCTTTTAAGAGTGCTAACCTTTCTGACTGCTCGGGTCAATTGGAGGTCCCCGAAGCCCACCCTGATAAATGACTTAGATTCACTCACATAGTAGTAAGTACTCACAGTTAGACGCTGTGATTTTCATGGTTGGGTAGGAAGGTATACCTGATACATGAGTCAATATAGAGTACCAGGATGTTAAGCCATCCTGTCAGAGACTCCTAGCTAGTAAGTGGCAGAGCTGGATTTTCAAGATTGTTTGCATGAGTGCACCTTACCATACCATCTGTCTGTGTATCTCTTTTGGATGACAGCTGAAAACACAGAGAGGATTTGATACTGCCGGGACCTGTTGTGTAGGGAAGGAGAGCCAAAAGGTCTTTTAGATCTTGGCTTGTAGCTGATAGTAAGTAGCTTAGGCAAATTACATAGCCTGTGTGCTTCAGATTCCTTCTCTTTGATTAATGAGGACAGTATCAAAGACTGTTTCACAAGACTCATAGGAAGGAACGACAGATATGTCAGCAATACAATGACATGGTCTAAAACCTAGTACATGGGTGCTGGAGCCAGCATCAGCAATGTTTATTGTACATGGAGAGCTACACACACATGGGCCTCCTTGAGAATTGGTTCATGAAGTTCCTTTAGGAGTCCTCATGGGCTTTTAATGAAGGATGGGGAGATCAGAGGAGTCTCATTAGTTCAGGTCATGAGGTAGGGTTCCATAGCTGTGACAATAGAGCAAACACTGTTTTCTAACCTTGTGTTCTCATCACAGCCACCCCTTGAGTCACTGGCCACAGTGGAGGAGACAGTAGTACGAGACAAGGCGGTAGAATCCTTACGGGCCATCTCACACGAGCATTCGCCTTCTGACCTAGAGGCTCATTTTGTGCCTCTGGTGAAGCGGCTGGCGGGTGGAGACTGGTTCACCTCCCGCACCTCGGCCTGCGGCCTCTTCTCCGTCTGCTACCCCCGAGTATCCAGTGCTGTGAAGGCAGAACTTCGACAGTGAGTCCTTACACTCCATCACTTTCCTTAGCGTTTCTCAAAGTCTCAGCCCCTCTAGGTCTTCCCAGAACCCAATGTTGCAGAGTTCTCCCTGCTCCCTCCTCAGTTCTCTTCAGGGAGGCTTGTCCTTGACAGTGGCCTCCGGATACCACAGGGGTGAATTTGCCTGACCTGCCTTCTTGGAAATTCATTCCTGCTGGTGATTACACATGGCCTGCTTGGAACAGAGTCTAGAATTCCACACAACAAATGGTGTCTGGTGTTACCTTCAGTCTAGACCCCTGAGTAGACATTCCTGGAAGTTACTGAGTGCCTTGTTGCTCAGCTCTATGAAACCCAGGTCCTGATCTGTCACTCCAGAGTACTGGCCTACAGCCATATGCACATACCGGGATGTCTCCATTACTCCCTGTGTGTCTCTGACTGAGGCTTTTGACAAGGAAGACCTGTCAGTGGCATTTTAAACAGTTTTATGGCCATGGCCACATAAAGAGTACTGTGTTGTGCTCTTTCACTGAGACCTCAAGTTAGCTGTGTGGGGATGTGCCATTGCCTTGGGTTCTGTTGGTAGGACTGGGAAGACAGAGTTCATGAGTTGTACAAAGTCACCATTGTTAGCAGCAGAGTCTACTGCATAACCAGCAGTGCTCTGTGTTAATGCTGGGCTGCCAGCTGCTAGGGCTTCCCAAGATCTTAAGGCCAGGCTTCTTCCTATCCCAGGTACTTCCGGAACCTGTGCTCAGACGACACCCCCATGGTGCGGCGGGCCGCAGCCTCCAAGCTGGGGGAGTTCGCCAAAGTCCTGGAACTGGACAATGTCAAGAGTGAGATCATTCCCATGTTCTCTAACCTGGCCTCTGACGAGCAGGTGAGTCAGTCCCCAGCTCTCACCATGCCCTTGCTTGCCGAGGCAAGGGACCCTCAGCCCAGTAGGCCTCTGCTACTCTAAGCCACCCCATTCTTTCCAGGACTCGGTGCGGCTGCTGGCAGTGGAGGCATGTGTGAACATTGCCCAGCTTCTACCCCAGGAGGATCTGGAGGCCTTAGTGATGCCCACCTTACGTCAGGCTGCTGAAGATAAGTCCTGGCGTGTCCGCTACATGGTGGCCGACAAGTTCACAGAGGTAGGTTGGTATGGTTTCACAGGAGGGGAAACTGAGGTTCTCTGAGGGAAAGAGTGACCCTATATGTGGGAGCTGGCACCACAGTCCTCAATTTTAATAAACATTCCGTAGATCTCGCAGAGCCAACCCTGGATGTGTGATTGGCAACTGAGGGTGCTAAGATAAAATATGATTCTGAAGTCAGGTTCTAACTCTGAAAGCATATTCCCTGACCTCAAAACTTCCTTAAGATACAGTCTGAGAGTTAGTTGTCAGAGTAATGCCACAAACTAGACAGAACAGGGACAAGATCAAAATTTTCTTACCTGACAGAATGCCTCCACCCACCGTCTTTACTCCTCAGTGCTGAGAGTTGATCCCAGAGCTTGGCCCATTTGACCCATGCTAGGCAAGTGCTCTACTGCTATGCTCTAATTTCAAGCCCATAGTTATTAGCAGTGCCTTTGGTGGAGGTCCTGCAGTCAGTGAATTACACACATACGTTGCCTTCAAGGAGCAGGCTAAAGGTCAGCCTCAGTAGAAAGTGCTAATGGAATGTTCTGTTCTCTGTGCCTCATGGCATTGAGAGGAGGAGGTCGTGCTCCAGCTGGTTGTGAGGATGAAGAATTAGCATCTAGGTAGGAGCTGTATCCCAACAAGATAACCTGTGCAGAGGTGAGACACAGAATGAGAGGGATCCTGGGATTCAGCGAGAGAAGGTACAGAAGTGATGGACAAGAGCTCTCCCTCGTATGATTACTGGGGTCTACTGGAAGGCTCAGCCCTAAGGACTGTTTTTGTGGGCACAGTGAAGTTGTTTGGCGCTTAGCCGTGTAAGAAGTCTGTGTGCCTGAAGGGCTTAGTACCATAGTAAAAGCAAGAGAGTCAGTCTCTTCCTCCTTCCTCTCAGAGGGAAGCAGACTTATGCTAGACCTTGGAAGATGGGACCCTTGTGCTATGGAAATGACAATCTGCCCACGTCCGACTGCAAACATGTTCTTAAATAAAAGGTAGTGTGTGCCCAAGATAATATGAGAGCCTGCAGAATTTTTACTTATTTATTCTCTTGGTAGTAGTGAGTCTTCCTGCTTCTAACTGATCTTCAAGGCAGGTTGAAGCAGACCCACATACATGCTTTTTTTTCTGGATCCTCGAGACTGGTAGGGTTCCTGTATCTTCCACCTCACTCTTATTTTTTTTTCTTCATTTATTTATTTGTTTGTTTGTTTGTTTATGGTTTTTCAAGACAGGGTTTCGTGTAGCTTTGGAGCCTTCCTGATATTAGCTCTTGAACTTAATGGAGATCCGCCTGCCTCCGCCTCCCCAGTGCTGGGGTTAAAGGCGTGCACCACCACCACCCAGACTTCTTATTTCAATTACAAAAATGATAATCGCTTCTTGTAGCCAGTTAGATAAAACACAAATATGCTTATATTTTCTTGTCAGATGAAAGTGGGAGCCACCTACTATAGGTAATGGAAAATCCAAGTAACCTGAAGTAAATGGAAAACATACAGTAATAGATGTCCTAGAACCTCCTTTCTGTTTCTGAGGAAGCCAGAGTTCAGGGAGGCGACGTATTCACCCATGATCGTGTTGTGGTGCTGGTATTAGGTCCCCAGTGCCGCGTCTTAGTTTCGTCCTGGTGCCTTCACCTCAGTTTTTGCCTTGTTAGCTCTGAGCAGCTGCCAGACTCTCAGTGTTGCCCTTCTCTTTATGTCCAGCTCCAGAAAGCAGTGGGGCCTGAGATCACCAAGACAGATCTGGTACCTGCCTTCCAGAACCTGATGAAGGACTGTGAGGCCGAGGTGAGGGCCGCAGCCTCCCACAAGGTCAAAGGTTGGTGCTGGCAATCAGAACCTAGCTGGGGGATGTCTGAGAGGCAGAAATGGGACTGGGCCATCAAGTCTAACCAGCACCTTTCTGTCTCTGCCCATAGAGTTCTGTGAGAATCTCTCAGCTGACTGTCGGGAGAATGTGATCATGACCCAGATCTTGCCCTGCATCAAGGTAATGGAATGCTTGGTTGTAGGATTTGAGACTTCCAGAGAGGGGTGCAGATTTGGTTTTGAGTATATTCAGATCCAAGCTAAGTTTTCATCCTCTTGGGACACACAGTAACTGTGTTTAACAGTCCTGGGTTTGGCTGTTGGCAAAATCTGAGGGTTGCAACTGACCCTAAGATCTTAGGGATGTGTTTGCCTTCAAAGGCCACTGAGTTCCCTCATCTATAGATCTTGTGGAATGGGGCAGTGGCTGCTGGAAGCAGGGCTCACAGAACAAGCAAGGGAGGACTTGTGAATACATGCAGTGAGTGCCTGAGCTGCCCTGATTGTGTTAAAAGTAGGAGAGTGTGGTCTCCTCGGGCCATCAGGACTGAGGTATGTGTAGCCACTTGCCACTAAAGGGGTTTTTCTGACTCTGGGCTTCCTCCTTCCTTCTCCCCTCTAGGAGCTCGTTTCAGATGCCAACCAACACGTCAAATCTGCACTGGCTTCAGTCATCATGGGCCTCTCTCCCATTCTCGGCAAAGACAACACCATCGAACACCTCTTGCCACTCTTCTTGGCTCAGCTCAAGGATGAGGTGAGAGTACCAGGAATGTTTTCAGCACTTTGCAGAGATGATGGTCTACTGTTCTCCAAGAATGTTTAGAATCTTGGCACCAGACACCACACTCCACACTCCTTCTAGATGACAGGCAAAAGTGTCTGTTTTTTCGCTCACTCTTGTTAGATAGTGCTTCATGTTCCCTTAACTTGATCCTCAGGGATGCACAGAGTATGCCAGTGGAGAGGAACAGATATAGACACTGTGGGTACCGGGAGAGGTACGCCATGGTTTTTAGGTTCATGTACCATAGAGACCCTAATACAGTGCCATAGAAAGTTGTGATTCCTCTCACATCATTCCAACTGGTCCTGTGGTGAGCGATTAACTTTGCTGGCCTGGCTTTGTCAATCTGTAGTCACAGCTGTAATCTTACCTCTTGGCCCACCGAAGGGTTTGGCTCTAGCTTGTGTTTTCTACGTGTTCCATTGACCATAGCCAGTCAGGTCACAATACTTGACTGTGCAGGTGACCTAGACCACAGAGGACCAAAGAGGTCACTGTGGTGACAGCTCAGGGAATTGGATTTGAACCTGTAGGCAAGTGCTCTAGCTGCAAGAGGTCCTTTTGTTAAGAAAGTGTAGTTGGTGTTAGGGAGAGATGAGAGAGAGCCAGAGCTCTTGGATGCATGCCAGCCCGGAGTGCTGCTGTTCATTTTTTTTTTTTTTTTTTTTGAGATGGGGTTTTTCTGTGTAGCTCTGGCTGTCCTGGAACTAGCTTTGTATACCAGTCTGGCCTCAAACTCATGGAGATCCACCTGCCTCTGTCTCCCAAGTGCTGGGGATTAAAGGTGTGAGCCAACACTTCCTGGCCCATTCAGATTTTTTAATGGAGCGCTTTCGTGGAGTACCTAGTGACTGATTCTATAATAATGACCCATTCTCCAGATGGGAAAAGGATTTCTCATAAGCTGTTTCCTACTTCAGAAGTCTTTCTTTAGAGAAGGTTTATGGAGTCAGTTGAAAGGGCTAACATTTGCAACTCTGGTTCTGTACATATAAAAAAACAAACACCAGACTAAAACAAACAATAAAATCTCTTCCTGGATCTGGGTTTTGTGTTTTCCAGAGAACTTGCTTTTTATGGCCTCTGTGGGACCAGTCCATGTGTTTGTTCCTATGGGTGTCTCTGCTCTATGGAGTGAGTGTGGATGGATACAGACTGTTAATCAGAGTTTGCAATGCTTGGAATCAGGCAGTTCAGAGGCTCGTTACATGTGCTCCCTGGTCTGGCATTAGCAAGGTGAAGTGATGAGAATGATAATGGGCCCTACACATGTACTCCTTGGTGTTCCAGACACTAGGTGCTTCAGCCCGTTGAGCAGAGAGCCTCAGCTACCCTTGAGACTAGATGGATATTTGGATATTTCAAGTTACAGAATGATACCTAGAAAGGAGCCCTTGCCTGCTCCTATCACTTTTCTGAGGCTGCTGTACGAAGTGCTCTTTTAATCCTCCTATCATCTTTTCAAGTGTCCCGAGGTGCGGCTGAATATCATCTCCAACCTGGACTGCGTGAACGAGGTGATTGGTATCCGGCAGCTCTCTCAGTCCCTGCTCCCTGCTATTGTGGAGCTGGCTGAGGATGCCAAGTGGCGAGTGCGGCTGGCCATCATTGAGTACATGCCTCTGCTGGCTGGACAGCTGGTGAGTGAGGAGCCAGGTTTTGTTGGCCACGAAGTGATAGATTTCAGGGTCTGGTCTGGGCTTAACCCTAGTGCCAGGGCTGTGGTGCTGTAACTAGGGGCTTGGAGCCTCAGTGTAGGCAGTGACAGTTGTCCGTGGAGGGATGTCTGGACTCAGGAACTGAGTCCTTAGCTGATGCAGGGAATTCAGTTAGAGGAAGAAGACTGGCACTCTGGTGGAGATCAGAATTGCCTGATTCTCTGGGACCCCTCTTTCTCGTCCTTCCTCTCCCCCTCTCAGGCCCTTACCAATCTTTTCCCCCCCGCAGGGTGTGGAATTTTTTGATGAGAAACTCAACTCTTTGTGTATGGCCTGGCTCGTGGATCATGGTAAGTATCCCCAGCAGGACAGCAGGACAGGTTAGTAGCTGCAAGGACAGACAGGTGAGCTGGCATATTTCCTTGTCAGTGCTCACCTGGACCCACTCTGTTGTTGTTTAAAAACCCTAGAGAAGTGTAGGTTAGGGATGGGGTGTGGTGGGTGTCTGTGGAGCCCTACACTCAAATTCGAACATAAAGACTTCTCACTGTGGTCTCTCGGGCCCTTGTGAGACTTATTCCTTGGTTTTATTAAGTGGTTAAAAAAAAATTAAGAGTTTTTGTTTTTCTCAGGCAGTTTTACGTCTCAGGCAGTAGTATGGTTAAATAGCTTGAGATGTAATTTGCACAAGCAGAGTCTCAGTTTGTACTTCTGGATAATGAGGCAAGTCTCTTTGGGTGGCCAGAAGGTGCTGTAAGAGAAAAAACTGGGCAAAATGTAGCAAGCGCTGCTTCTTAGTTTGGCTGAATTGACTGAACCTGTGTGATCTGGCCACTGGGGCCTCGCCTTAGGCAGAAACAGGTGTGGTCATGGTCAGTCCTTCACCCTGAATCACCTCCCTTGCCCTTTCCTTTTCCCTACTACAGTCTACGCCATCCGTGAGGCTGCCACCAGCAACCTCAAGAAGCTAGTGGAGAAGTTCGGGAAGGAGTGGGCCCATGCCACTATCATCCCCAAGGTCTTAGCCATGTCTGGAGACCCTAACTACCTGCACCGTATGACCACGCTCTTCTGCATCAATGTAAGCACCTCGACTGCCTGTCAACCCCAGGGAATGGGAGTACCCCTAAGATGAAGGTGGTGGAGGTGTTTTGCTTGTAAATAGAAACATGATTTGGGCCAAGGATGAGTCTCTGAAGACTGCAGGCAAAAGCTTGAGTCTGCAGTGTCAGATCAGGCCTCTGGGGGCTAAGGTTTGCATGGTGAGAGATCCAAGATTGAGAGGGAAGTAGAGCACATGTGTTCACACAGAAGCACTTTCTGCTTGCTGAGCAGGAGAGCAAGCGCGTGGCTCTGGAGTTGACCCAGTTCAGTTTCAGCTGTGTCACACA